CGGGGCCCCCCCGGGGGCCCCCCCACAGCCCTAATGCCCCTGTGGGAGGGTACTGGAGACCCGCTAGACCCTCTGGCCCTCTCGCAAGCTGCAGAGGGCCTCGGGGGGCCCCCCTCGGGGGGGCCCCCGGGGGCCCCCCGGGGGGCCCCCTTGTTGTGGAGAGCTGCCTTAATGTGTACCTGGAAGCTGTGAGCTGCCTGGTGCTTTCTGCTGCTGCTGCTGCTAAGGCGCTGCAGCGGCTTAACTGCTGCTGGCATTTAATTAGAAGTGCTGTGGGGGCCTCAGCAGCAGCAGCGCAGCAGCTGAGGGCCCTCTGCCGCAAAGCAGCACAAAAAGCTGCCAGCAGGAGCCGCAGCAGGCAGGCGGAGCAGCAGCAGCAGCAGCAGCAGCAGCAGCAGCAAGCTGCAGCAGCAAACCCGGAGGTAAGACTCTTTTTAACTATTCAAGTGAAATTGTTTAATGTATTTAATTCAATTATTTAAAATAAAACAAATTGTTTATAATATTATTTATTCTTGTTTTTAAATTAATTTTATTTTCTTTTGCTTCTCCATATCTGCATGCGCCCTTATATACCAAATCCAGCTAGCTGCAGCGCAGAAGCAGGGAAGCAGCAGCAGCAGCAGCAGCAGCTGCAGCAGCAGTTGTAGCAGCAGCTGCAGCAGCAGCTGCACCAGCAGCTGCACCAGCAGCTGCAGCAGCAGTTGCAGCAGCAGCTGCTGCAGCAGATGCAGCAGCGGCGGCGGTGCAGCTCTTTAAGCGCATGCGTTGGGGCGTCGTTTTCAGCCCTCCAGAAGCTGTGCGAGGGTTTAGGGTTTAGGGTTTAGGGTTTAGGGTTTGCGTGTTCAGGAAAGCGCTTCTGCGCTAAAAGCCACAATTGAAGAACTCCTCCAAAAGATTGCAACTGCGCGCGGCGAGTCCCTGGAAGAAAGCGTAAGAGACCTAGGGTTTAGGGTTTAGGGTTTAGGGTTTGGGCCTGTGGCTCCCTCTGGCAAAACCCTGAGCGGTTGCAGTGGGAGCAGCAGACGGGCCCAGGATTCCTTGCGCAGCTTACCAAACTAGGGTTTAGGGTTTGGGGTGTAGGGTTTGGAGTTGAGGGTTTAGGGTTTAGGGTTTGGGGTTTGCAGGAAATGGCCTTGGCGGACGAGGGGCTGGAGAATCTGCTCGAAATTGAGGGCCCCAGCGAAGCCCTTCAGAAAGAAAAGAAAGCAGCAGCAGCAGCAGCAACAGCAGCAGCAGCATCGCGCTCAGACTCTGCAGCTGACACAACTCAGCAGCAGCAGCAGCAGCAGCAGCAGCAAACCAGCAGCACTTCTAAGAGGAAAAGAGACGCACGAACAAACGGCGAAGCCGTAGCGGAAAGCCGCAGCCACAAAAATCAAAAAGTCCACAAAAAAAGAAAATAAAGCAGCAGCAGCAGCAACAGCAGCTGCTGCTCCTGCTGCTGCTCCAGTTCCTGTTGCTGCAGCTGCTGCAGCAGCTGCTGCAGCTCCCACTGCCGCCGGTGTATACTTCCCTCGGGAAGCGCAGCGAGCTCAACGGCTTCTGCACCCTTTCTGTCGCTAGGGTTTAGGGTTTAGGGTTTAGGGTTTAGGACATAGCTTTGGGCTCGGGCCCCGGGCCGCTGGGGTGTACGTACACCCCAGGGCGTGCCGCCCGCCGCATTTGCTGCAGCTTAGTTGCTGCTGCTTATTTGCTGCTGCTTCTTTGCTGCAACTTCTTTGCTGCAGCTCACTTGCCACAGCTTACTTGCTGCAGCTTACTTGCTGCTGCTTATTTGCCGCAGCTTATTTGCTGCACCTATTTGCTGCAGCATATTTGCTGCCCATATTTGCTGATTTGCTGCAGCATCTCTGCTGCAGCTTCTTTGCTGCAGCCAACTTGCTGCAGCCAATTTGCTGCAGCAGAGATGCTGCAGCACATCAGCAATCCTTTGCTGCAGCTAACTTGCTGCAGCTAATTTGCTGCAGCACACTTGCTGCTGCTCCACTTAGCCTCATTCTGCAGCGACTTGCCGCGCAGCCGAGGGTTTAGGGTTTAGGGTTTAGGGTTTCGCCTGCGGAGCCGCTCTGCAGCAGCAGCAGGAGCTGTTCTGTAAATATTCAAAAGCCCCAAAGCAATCAGCAGCAGCCCGAAGCTGGCGAGGATTGCTTCTGCTGCTAAAGTGCCTTTGTGGCGTTTCGCGTGCTGCTGCAGCTGCTGCAGCAGCGACGGCTCCTGCTGCTGCTGCTGCTGCTGCTCGGCCCGCAGCAGCAAATCCACGCCCCGAGCAGCAACTCCCAGCAAAGGACTCAGCAGCCCCAAAACATCTAACCCCAGCCTTTTTAAGTCTTTTAATTCATCAGACTCTGCTGCGGGGGCCCCCCGGGGGCCCCCCCGGGGGGCCCCCCCGGGGGGCCCCCGGGGGGCCCCCAGGGCCCTCAGGGTCACTGCGGAAAACAGCAAACTGCTCAGACACAGCAGCAGCAGCCCCAGCAGCAGCCGCCGCTGCCCCCGCACTGCAGCAACACGCCGCGGCGGATCGTCTGCTGCAGCAGCAGCAGCAGCAGCAGGGGGGAAGGCACCCGCAGCAGCAGCAGCAGGGGGGAAGAGGCCCGCAGCAGCAGCATCCACGCGCAACGGGAAGTCCAGAGGCAACTCAGCAGCAGCAGCAGCAGCAGCAGCAGCAGATGTGGGGCCCCCTGCTGCTGCTGAGAAGCTTGCTGCTGGGGCGAAGGACCCGAAGCTGCTGGGCGCAGCACTGGGCCAGCTCGAGAAGGTGGGGTCAAAGAGGGGCCCCTGCTGCAGCAGCCTGCTGCTGCTGCTGCTGCTGCTGCTGCTGCGTTGTCTGTAGCTGCTGGCAGCGCCGCGCTGCCACTGGGGGGCCCACTGCGTGGCTTGTAACTGCGGGGCTTCGCCTTGAGTCCAGTAGAGCCCGAGGGCCGTGTTATCTGCTGCTGCTGCTGCTGCTGCTGCTGTTTGTGGCTCGAGCCACGCGGCGAGCTGCAGCAGGAGCAGCAGCAGCGGCGGCGCGGCCGCAGGCCGGCGTCGCTGCAGCAGGCTGCCGCTGCTGCAGCAGCAAGAGACGCAGCAGAGGCGCTGCATCTGCAGCAAAAGGAAGGAGAGAAGCGGGGCAGCAGGTTGGCGGGCGTGCTGCTGCTGCTGCTGCAGCGCGTCTCATTGAAGCTGCAGCAGCAGCAGCAGCAGCCGCATCGCGTTCAGGGGTCCTTCAGGGCTCTTTCTGCGCGAAATAAAGTTTTAATTATTTCTAAAATGCATTGACTAAAGCCCCAAAGCTGCAAGTTGCATGCAAATCGAGGCGCAGCAGGTGAACTTAGGCGCTGCTCGATACAGGAGGCGATCGTGGCTCTGCAGCCCCGCAGCAGCAGCAGCAGCAGCTGCTGCTGTCTGTTTCTTGCTTTTACCTCGAATTTTCTTCTTGTTTGTGTAGTTTTGTGTTTTGTGTCGCTTCTTGCTTGCTGCAGCTTTCTCTTTCAGCAGCAGCAGCGGCTCGAGGGCAGTTCGGCAGCCCATGACGCAGCGCAGCGGCAGCAGCAGCAGCAGCAGCTGCTGCCTCTGTTAAGCCTGCTGAACTGCCGGGATTCTGCTTCCTGGGCAGCAGAGGTATTCATTTCAACAGCTGCGGAGCGGTCTGCTGCTGCTGCTGCTGCTGCTGCTGCAGGGGATCCGTTGAGTTGCGCGCTCCCCGTCGGGCGGTTGCCTGTTCGGCTGCTGTTCCCGCAGCAGCTAGGCGGGTGAGCTGCTGCTGCTGCTGCTGCGCTGCTGCTGCTGCTGGGTGGTTTCGAGGGTTTGCTGCTGGGTCTGGAGGGCAGTTGGAGTCGCTGCGTGTCCGGCAGCAGCAGCAGCAGCAGCAGCAGCAGCAGCGGCGGCGTCGCGTGCGCGGTGGAGCGTCGGTGGGAGCTCGAGCTGCTGCGTGTCGGCGGAGAGTGAGCTGCTGCTGCTGCTGCTAGTGCTGCTGCTGCTGCTGCTAGTGCTGCTGCTGCTGCTGCACGTGGGGGGCGGCTGGAGGGCGATGAGGGTGAGCCTTGGCGGCGGCCGGGGTGGCTGCTGCGGCCGTCGCCGCCGCAGCAGCAGCTGGCTGCTGCCCGCGGCCCTAGCAGCGCTCGCTGCAGCAGCAGCAGCAGCAGCAGCAGCAGCGGAGGGGGCAGCAGCAGCAGCGGCGTCCCCGGAGGTGTGGGAGCCTGCGGAGCCCCCGCCGCCGGCGCGCGCGCCCCCCGCGCCCCCCGCGCCCCCCCCCCCCCCCCCCCACCCCGCAGCACCCCCCCCACCCGCCC